TTGACCTTTCATGTTTACACGGTATGAACTCTAACAACATATAATAGTAATATATTAGCTACATTTGTTGTAGTTTGACCTTTTGCATATACTATTGTGAAATATTTGAGGTTTTTATCCATTGCTTAGGTCTTCCAAGAAGAGCCTGGAGAACCACAACGGGTAGCTACTTGGAATATCTAAAAGATGACTGTTGGGTAATTTTTTGTGGGGTTAGTAGTTACTTGGTATAGTTTGTTTATGTACGTGGTTGATGGACATGAAAAACCTTCGTTCATGTATATATAATTTACTATATGTATACACTTTATATTTGTAGGTGAGTTGGTGTACTAATGGATATATATGTTTTTGTATGTAACATACGTTACAATTGACAGATACAGGTACAACTATGGAAAGCGATTTTTAGAAACATTTCAAAACAAGTTTATATGAAAAGTTACATTTATAAATGTCAACAAAATAGGTTTCCTGACAAAAAAAAAAAAAAATTTAAACTGTTTCTTGACAATTAAATGTTGACATTATCAAGTATATCATGATAATTCTAAATTGTCGTTGTAAACCTTTACGTGACATATATCGAATGTCTTTATTTAATGTTGCATGACATTTTTAAGTTGTCATTATATAATTTTTCGTGATTGTTAAAACTGGTAATATTGACTATCAAAACTATCACTACAAAAGTTTTCATGACAATTATAAATAATCGTAAAAAAAAAATTCATGTCAATCTTTAACTGTCGTTAAATACTAGTTCATGACAATTTATAAACTGTCATCTTTAGGTATTTATTGACAGAATGACAAAAATATTTGATTGTTTTAGTGACACTTATAAATTGTAATTAAATGACTTTCTGTGACATTTATTAATTGTGATGGAAAATCTATTCATGACAAAGTATAACTGTAGTTGAAAATGCATTGATGACAATTTTTAAAATTTGTCATCTTCTTCTCTTTCTTGATGCCTTAATAGATAACAATTACATAATTGTCATGAATGATGTTAATGACAGAATTTAACTGTCATTGAAAGCCGCCTTTCTACGAGTGAACCCCACTGCACTAAACAATCCCCAATATTGGGGATTAATCCCTTGCAATGTGTCTAACTAAAATTTACATAACTTTCCCCTTTGCATTTATAACCTTCCACTCCCCCCGCATAATGTTATGGGAAGGTTTAAAATCCTAGCTCCCACTAGTGACCAATTTACAAGACCGAAGTATACAACGGCTAACCCATAAATTATAACAATAATCTCATGTTAGTTATGGGATGCAATGTTGATCAAAATGGAAATATCTCTACCTCAATGAGATTTCCAGTATTGGGGATGCAATGCTCTTAAAATTTCAAACGTCTTAACTACAACAGTTATTACATGTTAGTATTCCCAAAATACAATCCACTTCCCGGTTAGTAAAAGAAGAAAAACAGAAAAGTTATGACAATTTGCACGGTTAAAAGCACCTTAACACAAAAATGAGTCACTATTATCATCAAAATTTCAGTGGCCAAAACTAATGTATAAGAAACGAAGAATTAATGGAAGTGGAAAACACAAATCGAGAGGAAGTTTAATCTTTCGGATGCCATAAGCCAGTTGGTAGCGATGCGAGTCTGACTTCTTTGTTTCTCGCTTTTTAACTTATTTTTATCACATTCAATACACAAAATAAAAAAACTTACGAAACCAAATCCAGCAGCGACGATTTGATGCAAGGATTGGCAACTACTGTACGCGAGGACCGATGATGACCAGCAACGACTGAAGACGAGGGAAAAGAGAGAGATCGAGAGAAAATCGAGGAAAAGGGGGAGGGAAGCGCACTGTGGAGTTAGGGATTTGGAGAAGTTGAGGTTTTTCGAAGATCTATTCCGACTTCGGCACCAATATTTTCGTCCTCGTCGTCCTCCGGTCCCTTACTTTCCTTTGTTGCGGTTTGGAGGGAATATTCCTCACCACTCTTTTATTTCTTGGTTGGCAATTCGTGATCACCTCTCTATACGTGATTGTCTTCGTCAGTGGGATGTGTTGGTACCTGCTACTTGTGTTTTTTTTTGTACTGATTTAGGTTTTAGGGATCCTCTGTTTTTTGACTGCCGTTATAGTAGGGAGGTTTGGGCTTGTATGCTTTCGTGGGCTTGTTGGTCACATTAGGTTTCCTATTAGCCTACTCAGTTTACTCGGGTTTGTGATGTTAGTGCTGGGTCGTCTACTCGCGTCGTGTGTGGCAGTTAGCTTGGACTTCGATTATTTTTCATCTTTGGAGGGAGCGGAATCTGAGGATTCATGATAGTAGGGGTCACTCGGGTGTATTTTCGTTGCACTACTTGGTCTGGGAGCTGTTGTAGGAGCTCTGAGCTCATGTTTATCTCTGTGTGAGACTTATTTTCGTGATTTCCGTTTGTTTCTGTTCGCCCTTGTAGTTTTTTGGTGTCTTAATCTCATGAAATCCTCCTTATGTTTTTCTTGTTTAATATATCTTACTTTACCTTTAAAAAAATAAAGAAAACATTCCGGATTCTTGAAAAATCGGGGAGGCACCACAAAAAAAAGAAAAGATTTGATGAGGGGAAAAAAGGCTGGGCAGTGGGAATCTCAGAATGTTCAATCTGCCAAAGAGGAGGCAATAAGAAAGGAATTGTAATGAGAAATGAGTTAGGGTTTTTTATCACCCCAATATTTTTCTTTTCTAATTTTTGACTTTCTTTTTCTTTTTATTTTATTATTATTTTTTTAGTTTGGGAAAATATTTTGTTTTCTTTTTTTCAACCTATGATGTCAGCTTTTTCAAATAACATTGTATCTATATATGTAGTGATGGTTAGGTACTAATATTAAGAGTCCATATATATATTTTTAATTAATTTATTTTTAGTCATTTTATGTCGCTTACTAACCGACATCATATCCGTACACCTTCTCATTTTTTATTATTTATTTTCTCGACATTCGATGTCGCTTGTAAACAGACATCCTATCTCCATATTTGATGTCACTTGTGAACTGACATTACAGATCCACTTTTCAAAAATTGACACTATAGATGAAAACGTAATTGTTTATAAGCTACCAACCGACATTAAATGAGACAATTGTTGTAGTATCCAAATTCTGAAACCTAATAGTTAATTCGCTTGCAAGTCGAAGCATCGATTAAGCCACAATAAATAATGTTAATTTCTGCAATGATTTCATTTACTTAATAAATCAAACGTCTTAATTCTTTTGCACAATCAGACCAAAAAACCAACATGAATAAGAACCCAAGCAATAAGAAGTTTGATGCAAAAACAAAAATGGTACTCGACAGAAGGCTCCCACATTCAAAATTGGGCAAATACTTTTACAGAAATTACTAATTTCTTAACTAGTTCCCAAGAAGATGGAAACACAACAAAAGGTAGAAGAAATTATTGAATTCTTACAAAAAGCAACATGCAAAACAAGCTTGAAACTATTTGTGACATTCTTG